CCTCCCCTACACAGACCCTCCTCTATACAGACTCTCCCCTACAGATCCTCTTCTACACAGACCCTCCCCACACAGACCCTCCCCTACACAGGCCCTCCCCGACACAGACCCTCCCCTACACAGACCCTCCCCTAAATAGACCCTCCTCTACACAGACCCTCCCCTACACAGACCCTCTCCTACACAGACCCTCCTCCACACAGACCCTTTTCTTTACAGACCCTCCTCTACACAGACCCTGTTTATACAGACCCCCTCTGTACAGACTCTTCCTACACAGATCTTGCTGTGTAGATGTCCTGCTTTTCCTGCTTTGTCCATACCCCAGTCCCTGTACAGACTCTGCCAGCCTAGACCCTGCCTGACTTTAGATTGGTGAGGGCTGCTGGTTCAGCAGGTAACTGGTTGGTGTGGCATGCAGGCAGGATCTCTGATCACAAGCTCAACACCCCAAACAGCTGTCCTGAATTCTCCACACAGGACTCTCTGTGACTTGGTGTTCCGTCTGAGCCCCACATTTGCCAGTCTCTTCCGCACCAACCTTTTATGCCCCTGATTCCTCACATTTGAGTGCCCCTCCCCCCCAGGTCATGGATCCTGGCCCATGTGTGTCTGTCTCTCTGCAGGCCGGGGAGAAGCATTACCACCCTTCCTGTGCGCTATGTGTCAGGTGCGGCCAGATGTTTGCAGAGAGCGAGGAGATGTACCTGCAAGGTAAGCCGACCCTGTGCTGGCTCACACACTTACTCGGAGGTTGTCACCTGTGTCACCTCCTGTGTCACCTCCTAGGTTCCGCTTGACTCAGAGGGCTCAGCTTCTCGGTCCAGTGCTGGAGGAGCCGCCTGAGCCAGCTCTCCACACGGAGTTCAGCTCAGGGTGGATGCAGGGTGAGAGGCTCACTGGGCAGGCTCATGGGGCCTCTGTCCACCTAGAGGAGAGGGCACAGCTGGCAGGCGAGAACCCCAGACTGTAGTCCTGGCTGTCAGTCGCCAGGAGGCCTAAGCTGAAACTGGGGAGCCAGAGCAGGACTGGGCATTCGTCCAGCAGTGAGATCCAGACGGGGCATGGCGGCTCTCAGCATCCTTGTCCTCCATGTGGGAGCCCGGGGTTTGATTCCTGGAAGGCACTCACACCACCTGCCGTCAACTCTCTGTCACTGGCTAATACGTTGCTGTGATGAGGAACAGGTTTCAGTGGAGTCTAGACTAAGTCAGACTAGGAAGAAGTGCCTAGAAAACCAGCTAACAGAATCATGTGATTCATAGGGTCCAGCTGCAACTAGTCACAGGCAGTGTCTCCTGTGCTGTGTGGACCTCATGGGAGAGAAGAGACAGCTGGACAGCCACCGGCAGCAACAAGTAAACCCCAAAAGAATGGCACTCAGTCCTGCAGAGCCTGTCTCTGGCCCTGGAGCTATCCAGCCCTGGAGCAGGGTGTGATGTGTTGTGGAGCAGAATGTGGTGGGCCCTGGTGCTGTCCAGCCATGGAGAAGGGTGCAGGGTGGCCTGGAGGTGTCTAGCCTCAGAGCAGGATGCAGTGGGCCCTGGTGCTGTCCAGACCTGGAGCAGGGTACAGGGTGGCCTGGTGCCATCCAGCCTTGGAGCAGGGTGCAGTGTGGCCTGGAGGTATCTAGCCTTGGAGCAGGGTGCAGTGGGCCCTGGTGCCGTCCAGCCTTGGAGCAGGGTGCAGTGTGGCCTGGAGGTATCTAGCCTTGGAGCAGGGTGCAGTGGGCCTTGGTGCTGTCCAGCCTTGGAGCAGACTTCAGTGTGTCCCTGACCTGCTTTGCCAGGTACAACTGTCAACTCATAGGAACCTATAGAGGAGTGGTGAGGGGGACACTGAAGACCACTAAGGAAGCGTGGAGTGGGGGACTGGGGAGTGTCTTCTGAGTCCCGGAGATATCCCCACAGCTACTGACGGACCCAGCCAGCCACGTCCATCGTCCTGCGGTGCTTGTGGGAGGACCTGGACCCATTATTAACGAACACTGTCGGGGCCGCGGCCTGAGGACCTTCGAGCCAGACCCCTCGCTGTCCTGTCCCCATCCCGGGCTTTGCTCGCATCTGCTGGCTTGTCTGAGTGAAGTCAGTGATGGGTCACAGCCCTCAGCCTCGGCAGCCTTCTGACCTGTGTGTCTGTCAAGGGTCATTGCTGACTCCTGTGCAGTGACACACACACACACACACACACACACACACACACACACTGCCCACAGTCAGAACAGAGCCACTCCACAGGATGGTCATGGCCGTGGCCTTTCGGCAGCAGGTCTCCAGGCCTTTCCTCCATGTGCCTCTGGCCGGTTTGAGCCTCCAGCCTTTCAGCTGGTGGGTGGATGGAGTCACTGTGTGCACCGCCCGAGGGCTCCATGTCCACAGAGTGGGAGACAGATGCTGTCCCTGGATGTCCAGTACCAAAGGCATGCTTGCTGTCAGCTGCTTGTAAAACAACCCTTCCGTTCACCCTCACCTTGGCCATGCCCCGTCCCTCACCCCTTCCTATGTTCTGTCAGGCACAGGTCTGGTGTGAGCTGGGGGTCATTGGCACAGCTGGCCAGGATGCTGGCTGTCTCTGCAGTGACACAGCCCCAGCACGTGGTGTCTGCCCAGGCTTGGAGGGTTTTATGAAGGAGGTGTCTCAGGCTTTGAGTGGAGGCCCAGGCTTCCTGGGAACATGGTGTTCTCTGGCTCCAGGGTGGATGTGAGCAGCAGAGATGCAGGCCCGAGTGCAGAAGGCCAGGCTGGGGCACAGAGGACACTGAGCTGGGTGGGCAAGATAGAAATGAAGGACACTAGGAGGCCAGGGGGAAGGGAGGAGCTGTCAGGAGGAAGCTGATGGGGGCCGACCCTATACTCAAAATGCTGGCCCTGAGCCTTGGTCTATGAGCCTTGGACTCTGGAGCTGATCCTGGACTCTAGGCCCTGGACCCAGGACTCTGGACCCTGGATTCTGGACCATGGACCCTAGGCCCTATACTGTGGACTCTGGACCCTGGCCCCTGGACAGAGGAGGAGCCAGGCAAGGGGTGGGCCCAGGGCTCAGCTCTCATTCTGCCTGGTCTTGTCCTGCTGAGTCTGGTCCTGGGGCTGGTGACCGCATGGCTGGGGCAGGGCTGTGCTCCCCGTCACTGCCCCAGCCTTGGTGACCCAGAGGCCTGAATCCAAACACCCTGAAGATAAGCTTCCCTTTCTGAGGCTGAGCCAGGCGGTGATGCCAGACGGTGGTCCTGTCCCTGGTGTCCCCTCCACAGTCGCATGAAAGGATCTTTTGAGGCTGTCCCAGCAGGCACTGGGCTGTCTGGAGGGGAGATGCCACCCCATCCCTGATGGACACAGGGTCCCTTCCTTCTAGGAGTGAGGACACCAGCCCAGAGGCCTTGCCTGGAGTTCGGAGCTGCCCTCCAGGACACGGGTGTAGGAGGCCTGGCTTCTCCCAGGGTGCCTCCCCCTCCCCACTTGGGCCGGCTTCTGGCTTCGACCAGTGAAAGGTGCTGGATGTGGGCGTCCTGGGGCACACGGCTGCGGCCTCACCTTGCTGGCCAGCTGAGAGTCTTACTTGCCCTCCCTGGGGGTGGGGCACCATTGACCAGGGGACCCCACGCAGCCAGCTTCCCAGAGCAAGGCCTCTAGTGGCCCCCACAGTGGACAGCCCCCTGCACACTCGGATGACACGTGGACTTGGAGTGCAGCCGGCCCATGGGCTGTGCGGGCGGGAGCTTGGAGGGCCACTGGCACCTCCATTGTCATCACCGTGAACTCTGGTATTTCAAATGCCACCTAAAACGCCACTGTATAGCGCTGCCGTTGCCACATGGGCAGGTGTCCTCCTGTCAGCTGACTGCAGTAAAAACAAATTCCTTAGAGTGTTGATCAGGAGGATGGAAGGGGCCGTCAGGTCAGCTCCTGAGGTGTCCCAGGGTCAGCTGAAAACGTGGACCCCCAGCCAGAACGGCCCCACGAGACAGGATGAGAGGGCAAGGCGTCTGTGTGCGCGTTCCAGCGGGAGGCCTGCGTCCAGCATCCCTGAGGAGCCCGCACGTCGAGGCCAGTGCACGGTGACCATGTGGCAAGCACAGCTGGCCCTGTGGACTCAATGGACAGTTGTCAGGCCTTTCATCTGAAGTGCCCGGGTGGACCAGGACCCCACAGTCCTGGTGTCCTGGTCAGTGAGCTGAGTGGGTACACCCACAACATCTGTGTCTTCATGGGAGACCCCAGCTTCTCCCGCCCTCTTCCCAGGTAGCTGGGGGCTGGGTCTCGGCCACGCATGCTGGGGTGACAGGGCAGTGGGCTTGCTCAGGCTGTGGGTTTGATTCCAGGCTGCGGCAGACGGTGCGTGGTGCATTGGGTGAGTCAGTGCGTATGAAAGTTTGGTTGACACCGTGTTGCACTCTGTTCCGTGTGCGAGGACGTTGTAGTGGCCTAGTGGTAAGGAAGTGTACTACTCACACAAAGGTTGGCTGTTCGAATCCACCCGCTGCTCTGCGGGAGTAAGACAGGCACTCTTCTCCCGTGCGATTTACTCCCCTCAAAAGCCCGCTGGAGGGTCAAGTAGGGGTCAGTTCTGACTCAACAACAACGTGCAGTGGTCTGTTTAGTGTGCTGTGGAGTTGTGGAGATGTCTGACATTCGGAGAGCATGGCCCCGGTGTGACACAGACACAGGTGAGCTCCGGCTGTTGGAAAAATGACACAAGGATGACATCTGTGTCACTAACAGGTGTTAGGATGGGACCCTAACAGGCAGAGAGGGTGGGCAGGACACATTCAGGGGGTCAGGAGTAGAGGACTCTCCCCGGGCAGTGGAGGGAGGTCCCTCAGCCCCTGCGCCCTGGCTCCGTGTGACTCGATGTGCCTCCCCCCGGCTCTCCTCTGCTCGCTGAGTTCAGCCTTGTCTTGGCTCAGAAGTGTCGCTTGGACCCACAGTCCGTCAACGCCCACGATGGGAGCAAGCGGGAAACTCAGCGATGTGTTGCACTGGGAATCTGCTGTCAAGGACCTCCTTAAAGTGCTAGGGAGCAAAGATGTCAATATAAAGACTAAGGTGCGCCTGACCCAAGCCATGGTCTTTGCTTCTTATGCATCAGAAAGCTGCACGGGATAAGGATGACAGAAGCGTCAACGCCTTTGAGCTGTGGTGCTGGAGGCGAGCACTGACTCCCAGGGACACCGGAGGACAAGCTTGTCTGCCCGGGAGGAGTGCAGCCAGAGGGCTCCTCAGAGGAGAGGGCGCAGAGCCTTCAGCTCACGTGCTTTGGGCGTGTTGTCAGGATGGACTTGGACAGACACCCTGCTGGGGAAAGTGGAGGGTAGTGACGAGAGGAAGACCCTCCGTGAGAAGGACAGACACAGAGACTGGACCGATGGGCTGGAGAGTGTCGGAGGTGATGAGGATGGCACAGGACGGGGCTCAGACCTGGCGTTCACAGGGTCTGAGTCAGAGCAGCTTGACGGCACTTCACAACAACATGTCTCAAAAGATACCTACTCAGAAGTAGCCCACCCTCATCCGGACGCAGTAGCATGGCTCACACATGAAGGAAGGCCCAGAGGTGGGGTCGCCTCACAGCTCACTGTTGGGGGACACAGTGTGGTCTTCTGTCATTTCAGGAGGCAGCCTTCTGGGGCTCAAGGAAGCTGTTCCAAGAAACGGAGGGAGTGCAAGACGCTGGGTGTATCTGGTGAATTGAGATTTGTCGCCCATGCTTGGCCTGGAGCGGGCATGGCCGTGCTGTCACGTGACCATCATCCAGGAGACTGGTTAAAATAAAGGGGGCCACTTCCTCCCATCAGGCTGACCTGGACGACCAGGAAGGGCACCCCTCTGTGCTCAGGGAGAACCCGAATGCCAGTCCTGGCCACACGGGGACTGCTCTGGACGTACATTAAAGCAAAAATGGCTGGAAACGAGACCACGCGTATAGTTGACACATGCCGCCGGGTCAGAACCCCCAGAGCTGACCCCTTGGTGGGTTTTCGGAGGCAGTAAGTCCACAGGAGGAGATTGCCCGTCCTTCTCCCGCAGTGCGGCTGGTGGTTAACCTCATGCCTTTGGGATTGCAGGGCAGCTTCTTACCACTAGGCCACCAGAGCTCCTTATGTGAGGTGTAGGACCGCATTTCATTGAGCTACCCTGTGTTCTGCACGGGCCGTGGTGGTGAGCCCTCGCTTTCCACGCGGGAGATGTGGGTTCAGCCACCAGCAGGTGCACCTCATTCCCACCCCCCCACCTGTCCCTGGAGGCTGCTCACATGGCCATGATGCTGGCAGGTTTCAGCAGAGCTTCTAGATCAAGGCTGATGGGGAAGAAGGGCCTGGCCATCTACTGGTGACCAGTGGAAGCCCATGGGGCTCAGGGGTCACCGAGGTGCTGCGGGGTGCCAGCTGCACTGTTCTCTGGAAGCTCCTTCAGCCCAGAGCCAACTGCGCAGTTCCTGCTTCACTCTGTCTTTGGTCGGGAACAGCCACGGCTCCCACACAGCAGTGATAGTGAGGGTGGCATTGCACTGGGCAGCGTGAGGCCCCTCAGGAAGCCCAGAGAACCCGATACAACCAGGCAGCGAGCCAGTGGGTGAGAGGAGGCCCCTCGCTGAGGAGGAGGCCCGGCAGCTGCCCTGACAGCAAGCACAGGGCAGCCACGGAGAGCACATTCAGACACTGTGAGAAGGAAGTGGCTTGATGCCACCCAATAACCTTACCTGTCATCACAGAATGGAAAGGCTTTACACATGCACACACACGTGCACACAGGAACATGTATACCAACACGTGCACACACACATGGCATGCAGGTGTGCACACACGCACACATGCACACACATCTTACTGCGTCCACTCCGCCGTGCACTGGTGCCATCCCTGTTGTGAGATGAGACTGCGAGGGGGCGGGTTTCCACAGCTCTGTAGATTGGACTTGGGCGTGTGAGTGGTGGACATGGCCCTTACTGGGCAGCCTGGGCCGAGGTAGGTAGTGGACAGGAGGGCTGTAGACCAGGCCGGCGCTGAGTTGGCCGAGGGACGGATGGGGCCAGCACTGCTCATTTTGATGCCCCGATTGTCTAGTGAGGTGGGATGTTTTCTGCTGTGCTTGGTCAGGGAACAGGGCTTAGACAGGGTGAGGTGGGCTTAGAGGGAGGGTCCTGCAGGCAAGCTTGAGCTGGCTGGGGACTGGGGGCTCAGGGGGGCCAAGAGAGGAAGCTGAGGCCCCGAGGCCCCACTCCTGAGCCACCTGCCTGCCCACCCCGAGCCCCTCTGCCCCCACCGTCCAGCCCAACCACATGCAGGGAGCAGGGTGGGCTCAGCTGTCTGAGTGTGCCAAGGCTGGGCATGCCACGGGCCCTTCCTCTCCTCTGTCCCAGGGCCTCAGGTGCCTCGTCTGAGGGACAGTGTCTGGGCAACAGGGCTGGGAGAACTGCCCCCTCCAGCCAAAGGGCCCTGCCTGAGCCATTAGTCCCCAAGGGGGCATCAGCCCACTGTGCCCCTTGAGGTACCGGCCAGCACTGGGATGATACCTGCCCACAGTCACTCTGGCTGGGACCCACTAACCACTTCCCTCTGTCACAGGCTCTTCCATCTGGCATCCCGCGTGCCGGCAGGTGGCCAGGACTGAGGACAAAGCCAAGGTGAGAGCCTTGCCCTGTTCTCCCTGGGGCATCACCTGGAGATGCTGCCTGGACAGGCCATGGTGGGGGCAGTGGGCCTGGGTGGGAAGGCATGTCCTGCAGCCTCCCTCACATGGAGATGCTGTCTGGACAGGCCGTGGTGGGGGCAGTGGGGCCTGGGGAGCATGTCCTGCAGCCTCGGTTACCCTGAATGCAGCTGGGTGGTGTTAGTCACTCTCTGTGTATAACTCTCCGGGTGGTAGGGGACATCTCCACCATGTTGCCGGCCAGCAGACATGACTCACTGACAAGGGCCCTGTGCCAGGCGCTGGGCAGCTCAGAACCCTGGGGGTGACTCACTACTGCCCCCCTCAGCCTCGGCAGTCTTCCTTCTTCATGAGCACCTGGGGTCCTGGAACACTGAGACAGGTTAGCTAACCCCAGCATCCACAGGGGACACCCCCACCCCGGCCTGGGAGGACTCCCCGATCCATTCTGCCATTGGGTTATGGGATACAGAGGTCCATTGGCTGTCCCCAGCATCCACAGGGGGCACCCCAACCAGGGAGCCCTCCCCAATCCGTGCCACATGGGATCCCTCAGCATGGAGGCATGTTAGCTGTCCCCACCATCTGCAGCGGGTGCCTGTGGACAGGCGGCCAGGAGGACCCACCTGTGGTGGCCACGTGCAGCCTCAGACATTTGCTCCTGTGGCACCAGCTCACCTAGTGAGCAGTGACTGTGTACACTGGGGATGAGGCCAGGAAGACAGGGAAGGGTCAGCCTGGGGTCCCGTCCTCTGGGGTCCCTGTCCTCTGGGTTCCCTGTCCTCTGGAGCCCTCTCTTCCAGGTCCCTGTCCTCTGAGGTCCTTGTCCTCTGGGGTCCTTGTCCTCTGGGGTCCTGTCCTCTGGAGTCCCTGTCCTCTGGGGTCATCTCTGTCCTCTGGGGTCCCTGTCCTCTGGAGTCCCTGTCCTCTGAGGTTCCGGATCTCAGTGGTCACTATCCTCTGGGGTCCCGTCTGATGGGAGCCGTGGCTGTGGAGAGCAGACTCTATGTGCTGGCCACTGTGTCTGACCTGGTGGAGGATGGAAGGAGTGAGGAGGGACAGGGCTGCACTCAGAACTGAGTCCTGGTGGCAAGGCGGTAGGTGGAGACAAATGAGAATAGAGGGTTCTAGAACGTGGGAGGAGGCAGGTGGCCTGGATGTACCCAGGACACACCCGGGACCTCATGTAGTCCCAGCATGCTTTTTTGTGACCGGCCTGCCCCCCAGGGCTGGGTCTACTTCTAGAGCTCTAGATGTTCCCTGGTGACCAAGAGTGCCCTTGGGCCACTGGGGCATACACGGCTGAGGGCTGCTGTGCTGAGCTTTATAAAAGGCCACCTGAGGTCCTCTAACTGTGGCCCCCTGACCACCACGGCCCCCTGACTGTGGTCCCCTCCCTGACCACAGCCCCCTCCCTGACCACAGCCCCCTCCCTGACCGCAGTCCCCTGACTGTGGCCCCGGTCCCCCCACTCTGAGCTCATCCACAGCCACAGTGGAGGAAGCAGAGGCTCTGAAGCCTCACAATATCTGAAGTGCAGACCAGTCCGTCTGCTCTGGGCGCAGTAACCAGGCACAAGCCAGAGGGGCCGTGGGGGCAGCATTTACTCTCAGGCTGGAGCTCACGGCCTCGGTCAGGGTGTTGGCCCAGCTGATTCCCCCTGAGGAGACTTTATAAACACGGCATTTATGGTGTTTCTCGACCTGGAGGCCTGTGTCCTGCATCAGGGGGTTAGGTGTGGTTCCCTCTGAGATGACTTGTAAACACAAGAGTCTCTCAGCCTGAAGTCTAAGGGAGAGGAGGTCTATTCACCTAGAATTCTCCTGCTGAGTTAGAAAGACAGCGTACAATCCTTGAGTCTGGAGGCTGGGGGCCTGAGATCAGGGTTGACTGTGTCCACTATGAGGTGACCTATAAACACAGCAGTTCATTTCCTTACAGTCTGGAAGAGAGGGACTTGATCAGGGTCCCTTTCGTGTTGAAATTTATTCAATTCATTCTCCTGGTAGTCTGCTTTCTACCAAGATCCATCTGACATTGGTGTTAATGTCTCTAGTGCCATGACCTCTTCTAAACCCAGCCTGTATTTCTAGTACTTCTGTCAATGTGCTGTTCTACTCATTTTTGGATAATCTTCAGCAGGATTTTGCTTACATGTAATATTAGTGAAATTGTTCGATACTTTCCACACACGTTTGGTGTTTTTTTTTGTTTTTTTTTTTTTAGAATGGGAATAAAAATGGATCTTCCAGTCATCCAGTCAGCTGGCCAGGTGTATGTCCTCCAGATTTCCTGGCGCAATCTAGTGAGCACGTCCAGGGCAGCATCTGTTTTGCTGATGTATGTCAGTTGGTATTCCATCAGTTCCTGGGGCCTTATTTTTTAGCCAGTTCCTTCAGAGCACCTTGAACTTCCTCGTTCATCACCATGCTTCTTGATCCTATGTTGTTTCTTGAGATTCTTCTGTGTCAGCCAATTCTTTTTGTTACAGTAACTCTGTATACTCCCTCCGTCTTCTTTAATGCTTCCTGGATCATTCAGTATTCTCTCCATAGCATCTTTAAGTACTGCAGTTCCTGGCTTGAATTTGTTCTTCAGTTCCTTCAACTTAAGAAATGATGAGTGAATTTGGTCCCTTTGATTTTCTGACTCCAGCTCTTTGCACATTTCATTATAATACTTTGCTTTGTCTTCCCGAGCTGCCCTTTGAAGTCTTCTATTCAGCTCCTTAACTTTCTGATTTCTTCCCTTTACTTTGGTTTCTTGGTGCTCTAGTGCAATATTCAGTCTCTTCTGCCATCCAACCTGTTTTTTCCTTCCTCCTCTGTCTTTGTAATGACCTTTTACATTCTACATAGATGATATTCTTTATATCCTCCCACAGCTCATCTAGTCTTCATTCATTAGCATTCAAAGCCTCAAATCTATTCCTGAGATGGTTTTTAAATTTAGGTGGGATAGACTCAAGGTAAAATTTTTATTCCTGTGGGTCGGATTTAGCTTTCTTTAGCTTTAATTTGAACTTTCATAAGAGTAGTTGATGGTCTATTCTACAGTATGTGTGGATCATGACAAATTGTGGTTAACTTTGAGAAGAATGGGAATCCCAGACTTGATTTTGTTCCTGTGAAACCTATACTTGGACCAGGAAGCAGTTGTCAGAACAGAACAAGGAAACACTTCAGGGTCCAAAACCAGGAAGGAAGTGTGTCAGCGATGTGGCCTGTCCCCATACCTTTTCAATCTGTATGCAGAACAGATCACCCGGGAGGATAGACTATGAGGAGTGTGGCATCAGGATTGGAGGAAGACTCATCAACAGCCTGTGTTATGCAGATGACACAACCCTGCTGAAACTGAGGAGGACCTGAAGTACTTGCCATGGAAGGTCTTCAATATGAATTGAAGCGGAACATCAAGAGGATACAGATTCGCGCCATGTAGACGGAGAAGAAACATTGTTAACAATTTCATCTTGACTGGCTCTATAATCCGCACTTGGCACCTGCAGTCAGGAAATAAAAGATGAATTGCACTGGAGAAGGCTGCTCTCTGCTAAAGAAAAATGATACAGCCTAGAGACTAAGGTGCACCTGAGCCAGGCCATGGTCTTCAGTTACTTGCTCTGCATCAGAAAGCTGAACAAGGACTGGGGATGACAGAAGAATGGATGCCTTTGAGCTGTGGTGCTGGACACGAGTCCTGAACGTACCATGCACCTCCCAGAGAATAAACAGGTCTATTCTGGAGAGTGTGAAGCCAAATTTTTCCTTGGATCCAAAGATTCTGAACCACAACCATGTTGAGTCCCTGAGGTAACATGAGCACAGGATTTTATGGTCTCACAGCCTCGGTGTTGGCGTCTGAAAGCAGGACGCCCTCCGTGTTGGTTCCCTCTGAGGTGACTTGTCTTAGAAGAGTTTATGGTCTCATGGCCTGGAGGCCTGGCGTCTGGATCCCGATGCCGGCCCAGCTGGGTTCCCTGAGATTCTCAGGAGGCCTTTCCCTGCCCCTCTGCTGGCTTCTGTGAGCCCTAGGTGTTGGCTCATTACATGATGTCACACGGTGTCCTTCTTTCTTCCTCTCTCTGTTCTCTTTGTAAGGACAACCTCAGATCCAGGATGTGGACCTGTCCTGTCCCATGGCATCTCATGTTAACTGATGACATCAGCAAAAACCCTTGGTCTAAATGAGGTCACTGCTGTATATCTCTGAAGGCGTTTTTATTGTGTGTGGCAAGTCGGAACCAATCCACAGCTGACCCTCCAGTGGGCTGTCAGAGGCATGGGAGGAGACTGCCCATCCTCCTCTGTGGAGCAGCTGGTGGATTCGAACCACTTGCCTTTACGATTCCAGCACGGCATCTTAGCACAGGTCACCAGAGCTCTTAACTCAGATCTCTAGTGCTGCTGTAACGGAGATGTCACAGGGGGTCATGGTAACAGACGGAGCGCTGTTCTCTCGCGGGGTGGCCAGCATGAGTCAGAAGCCAAGCATTGGCTCCAGGGGAGACCGTCTGTCTTTTGTCTTCTGTCCCCCTCTGGGACCCAGGTCCCTCAGACGTCTCCATGTGTCTGAGCTTCAGGTTCGCTTGGTCTGGCAGTTCTCAGGACGGGGCTCTGTGCCCACAGGAGGTACCAGGTTCCCGTTGGCTCTTCCCTGATGGTGTGGGGGTCCTGCTCTCCCTCCTCCATCTTGGTCCCACCCGGGGGACCCCCCATTGTTGGATCAGGCCTATGGCCTGAGGAAGGGAGTTGCACCCACCTTAATCCCTTACTACGGGTTGGCTGATCACATTACGGGGCGATTGACATAGCTGTCAGATGGCATTGTTACATAACTTAAATCACCACGAATCGTGGCCTAGCCACGCTGGGCAGCCTATCACAGGCCCTGACACTCGAGTTCACGGGTTCTGGTACTAGGATGTCAGCATGTCTCTTTGTCCGGTTGTTGTTAGGTGCTGTCAAGTTG